CTTGAATCGTCTTATGAAGATTAATGTCTTACCATGTTTACTTATACCATGTTGAAGATCATTTTGTAAATCATTTTTTCCATATGCATAATTATTTAATAATTCGTTTTCTCCACAAATTGAAATTTAGATTTCTTAAAGTCTGAATGTGGTACATGAAAAATGCAGTACACCACATACAAAAATATTTGACAAGCAGATTATTCTGCATTTTACTTCTAATCAACAAAAAAATGCATACAAAATTGAAATATTAAAAAATAAGAAATTAGATATATGAATGTATAATTATTTAATAACTTATTTTCTCCACAAATTGAAACTTGAATTTCTTAATGTCTGGTATATAATAAAAGCAATACAAATACAAAATAATTGACAAGCAAATTACCCTGCATTTCACTTCCAATCAACATAAAACATACATAAAAAATTATAATATTAAAAAAATAAGAAGATTGCATGTAGAATATCTTATCTGATAGAAAAACTGATCTGCAGGTAAGGGAAAAAAAAGAAGAAATGGTCATACACTAGAGCCCAATTCATGTTGTCTTTCTTTTTAATTTTTAACAACTATTTTTTTATCTATAAATAATTTAGAGCAATTAGGACAGATATACATAGAAAATGTCATAATTAACTAGATACCCTATACATTGTTAACTTTTTAAAACCCCAAAATTATCCCTGCCCAAATTTCATCTTCCTTTTCTCTCTCTAGTGTATTTTCTTTCAAATATCTTGCCCAAACAATAATATTTTTTCCATCTCTCTTTCTTGTGTTTCTTTAAATTCTCTACTTTTGATTTTCTATTTCTTATGTGGATTCTTCATTTCTTTTCAATTTTCACCAAGTATATTTCTTTCAACACAACATCTGGGTCCAATTATTTAATTCTCTCAACGTGTTCGTCTACAGTAGCCTTTTTGTCGATATCAACCATGGTATGAAATACACTATACAATAACTAGATTTCTGTTAACTGGTAAATGTTTGATTAGATGCTACATATTAAGTCATGTGAGCAGATATATGTTTGATAAGTTGGTAAAGCTTATTGTTAAAATGCCTTTGTTTCAAATTAGTTCTGGTGATATTATACATGACTGTAAATTTCTATAGAATATGTTATCATTAGCTGATATATTTTTGGTTAGATGTTACAAAATATGTTGTCATTTTTAAAGTAGGTGATACAATGCTAAAAATAACTATCGATTGCCGATAAGTTGTTTGTTAGATGTTACAAAAAGGTTATCTTACTAAATTTATCATTAGCTATTCTAACTTCTATGCTTAACGGCTAATCTTTATGATATCATAGTAAATTGCAGTCATTCCTTTTTGTACTTAATAAACTAATTTTCTAATAAATAATGTATCCACTAAAAACTTATATAACATTTTATGTTACAGTTTAACATTAAGCCGCCTTTGTTTTAAAATAGATGTGTTATATGATATATAGTTTGTAAATCTCTACAAAATGTGTTCATTAACTAATACATATTTTTAGCCGTTACAAAACATGTTTTCACTTTTAAAAATGGTTCGTAAGATGCTAAAAGTATTTATCATTAGCTGGCACATAGTTTTCTAAATTCTGCAAAGTAAGTTATCAAACTCGCAACATCAGTATCAACCACAATATGAAGTTCTAAGCAATTTCAGGGCTCATAAAAAAAAATCTCTTCACTTCACATGCTGGTTAAGGCACGTGTCCAAATGGATGGCTGTATCGTTAAAAGATAGTGGGTTCTTCTTGAAATCGATAACGACGACCTCAATCTTTCATTTCAATTGTGAGTATTAACGGTTAATCATTATGATATCATATAAAACCAATAAAATTACCAATAAATTGCAGTCATTCCTTTTGTACTTTATAAGTTAATTTTCTAATAATTAAATAATGTATCCATTAAACAATCATATAACATTTTATGTTAAAATTTAGCGTTAAGCCTTCTTTGCTTTAAAATAGATTTGTCATGTGATAGCGACAATTGGTTCATGGTCTCTAAATCTTCACAAAATATGTTCATTAACTAATATATATTTTTTTAGCCGTTACAAAACATGTTTTCACTTTTTAAAATGGTTGGTAAAGTGTTAAACGTATCAATCGTTAGCTGACATATGGTTTGCTAAATGCTACAAAGTAAGTTATCAAACTCGATACATCATTATTTTTTTACGTTAAACAAGTTATCCACTAACAATTCCTATAATATTTTAAGTTAATTCTTAGTGTTAATTATCTTTTGTTAACACACAATAAGGGATACCGATAACTTTGGAGTAAGATTATATATTATTCCAATTCTGAAATCCCGAGAAAGGAAGAATAGGTTGATGTGTTTGAGGAGCCATATTTGTAAGGAGACAATCTGTCTAATGCTCCAATCTACAACCGCTTTGCTAGGAAAGTTGAGATTCTCTGGTGACGGAGGGGAACAAGCCGAGAGGAGATTGCCAACTCAGTTCCCTACTATTTTTTCTCTCCTCTGCAGATTCTCAATCCTGCAATCAAATTGAAACCCCTAATTCATCGATGAAATATTCTTAAATTAGGGCAACAATTTTTTGTGTATTTGAGATTGATAGAACATAAAACGTATTGGGAGGTTTACCTTTATTTGAATCCATGTTTCGTTGGAATTTATGGCACATACAACATCAGTTTAATTGATGTAATGGTGAAGAGATGAGTTGAAGAGAAGAAGATCGATGTCATATTTGTAATGGATCCAGAGTAAGCAATGATAAGGATTTGATGAACAGATCAACATTTGTTTTGAGGAGAAACTTTATAATTTAATGAAAATTAAGAAGAGATATGTTTATTGAGAGGAAATATTATCAGAAAAATGTATATGATAGAGATGAAGAATCAGGAAAGAATGGAAAAAATGATGAATTTTTGGGGGAGAGACAAAATCGCCAAAGAGAGACCAAAAATGTATTTGGTATTTTCACTCAATTGTCCCATTAATTTATATTAATACATTTCTTTCCTCCACAAATAAAAGTCCTCATTAAATGTAATTTTTTCAATTTTTTATATAGAAGTTTTACAATGAAACTTTTTATACAAATGTATAAAATGACATATTCTTTATATATAATATATATGTATTAATTTTTATTAAATTTCATAAACAGTTATATATATTATATAAATATTCCAAAATGTTATATAATTTTGCTGTCGAAGTTTTTTATACACATTATTTTCTGCCTAATATTAAAATATATAATTACACTATTCAAATATAATAGTTGGATAAACAGAAAATATATAGATTATAGTTCATTTTAATTATTGTTGATGATTAACACAAACAAAATAATTAATAGGTTTTTTACAAAAATTATATTGACATCTGATTATATTTTTAATAGAAATCAACTAAATAAAACCACGCATGCTATTGTTTGCATGTATTTATAGATTTAATAGTTACTACAATCGAAATAATTTGTATTCATTCTTAAATATATATATATATATATATATATATATTAAATAGATTCATGTATTTTTATATTATATTTAACCTTTTTCATATTTTAAGGTTATCTCATATATTTATATCCTAGAAAAACAATTCAAAAGTACATTATTCTTTGCTTTATTCAATAAATTATAAAAATGGGTAGAAGTAAACTAAATTTAGTATTTATAATACTCAGTAAAATTAACTTATTCTCTATAAACATATCATAACTTATGTATGTATTTCAATCATCTATTTAATTTAATAGTATATATATATATTAGTTTGATGACTTTATACATGTTATTTATATCACACGTATTATTTGCATATATGTATAAATTAAAATATTTTTGAAAATTTAATAAATATTTTATTATTGCTAATATAACACATGTATGTATTTACTAAAATAACAACAATAACTATTAAGATTTGTATTTTTGTTTTAACATACAAATTTATTAGCTTAACTACTTAAATTGCATTTGTTCTATATAATCTCTTTGAACTATATTTTTCTGCATGATATGTATTTACTCTTTGATGTACTTTTTTTTTGTGTCTAGTATTTGAAACCTTGGTGTAAATATATTGATGAACTTTCAGTAAGAAGTCAGATCACTCTGGAATAAAGTAGTCTCCACAAAATCAGTAGTAATTAATACAAACTATTGGTGATAGAAGACTCTGAACCTTATTTACCAGATTTTATGTTTTTTTGTATTTTACACGTAGAGCAAGTTGAATAGCAAAACGTTGAGAACTTTTTTCCAAATTTATTTTCAAACACTATCTTCTATTTCTTTTTGACAAATAACAATCACAATTGATTTCACTACCCAATAAAATGTATAAAAGACAAAGGAAATAGCTGCACCGTCCATGTTGGCCCAAGAAATTACACTTCGTGCACAAATCAGTATTCACTACGATATAATACTGCAGCTATTTAATATTTCCCACTTTGTTAGATCAACAAAAACTTAGAGAACATAGAATAATCAAACAATAATTAGGAATTGGTTCCTTTCAGAAAAAAAAAGTTAGGAATTGGGAGAAAAGGTTGATTTGTACGTTAATAAAAATTGGAATATAAGATTTTAAGCAACGAAAAGGAAAAGAATAGGCATCGAGATGATAGTGACATTTTTATGTTATAATATCAGTAATTATAGTTTGAAAAATTTGGCATCAAAACATATAATAATTGTGAAAAGAAAAAGGATAAAATAAACAATGATATTTTTGAATTTACACATGAATGATGACAATATACAAATTGTAAAAAATCAGCCCTTTTGGATCTTTCTATCATTTTAACTTTCTTGTGGGTTCTACACATCTTCAAGAAAATTCAAAATTTAAATATCATATCTAACTTTACCATGTATAATCAGCATTCATAACCATTACTAAAAGAAAAGTAATATGTATTTGTGTGTGAATACATAATTGGAAAATATAAAATAAAATTTTCCTCCACTTATTTATTTCATAATTTCCATAAATTATTTCAAAAAAGATCACATCAAATTATCAATACTAGTTTGCAAATTGTATTCAGAGAAACAGAAAAGGAAGAAGCAGAAGATATGATTAGAGAACATGTGAGAATATCACTTGATGATATGCTTTGCTAGAAACTGACGAGTGGGCCCTGAAGCCCATTACCTACGAATAGAAAAAAACAAAAACAAAAACAAAAAACGCTCTCTTCTTTTATCATTTCTATCACGAAGACACCATTCACGCTTTTGCCAGCAGAAAGCTCAGAGCTTTCCTTCTTCCACAACAACTCTGTAAGTGATTTCATCCGCGCGAAGTATTATTCTAAGCTTTTTTTTTTCTTATTTGACGGTCTCATGTAAAAGCTTATAGCTTTTTTTTTATATATATTAAATTCACAGCCGAAACAGTTGAATTTTGTGTATATATGGGTATGTCCCACTTTTCTTAGTGGTCCGCCATTGAAATGACTGTGCCAAACCCTAATCTTATCTCTCTCTCTCTTTCCGCCGACCCCTAAATATTCAATCTTTTTTCAACTTACAAACAGTTTTTGCATTTAAGTCTCTTTGAAAATTCTCATGTAACTTTCTCATGTAACTCACATGCTTGTTGTTCCTGTTTCAATCATCTTCTTACACGACTACAACTACGAGTTTGTCTTTTTTACTCCCTTTTTCCTTTATTTTAATAAGTTTCTCTCTTTAGGTTTCTCTGTTACAGAACTCAGCTGCTTTATCTTCTCTCTAGTTGCGGATCAGAGCTTTATTTCGTGTTTAAGGCAAGTTCTGTTTAAGTGATTAACCCTTTTTATGTTTTGTGTTGAGTGCGAGATGTAGCATAGCTTTTTGAGTTTCTGCGTTTTCATGTCTTATTTGGATCGAGGAAGAAATTTTTTTAAACTTTCAGTTAGGTCATCCTTTGTTGTCATTAGGACAGAAGTCCATTGCTTTGTTATATGAAACTGCTCATGAGCTGTTTGACTTGCTTAGAGTTTGAATTTATATGAGAGACTTGTACCTGAAGTGACTCTAGTTTTCGAAATTTCTTTCTTGTTGAATGTGTTATCCGAACTTGATCTGTAGATTTTGGCTGTGTCGATTCTTCGTGGGGCCATCTTGAGTTTCAAGCAACTTTATGAATGAATTAGTTAGATCTCAGAAAAGAGTTTGTATGTACATTGTTTTTCAAGTTTTGTAATAGCATTTTTGCATGCTAAAAGAAAGATGAGACTGTTTTACATTTATACTGATTTTAGTTTGCATTTATGTTTGCCGAACTGGTTTATTAGGTTTTGCAATGGACTCCCCAAAGTCTGTTGTTTCACCATTCAAGATTGGTGAGTCCGAGAAGGAGAACTCAACTTCTGTGCAGAGCTCTGGAAAGCAATCAACCGGCATAAAAACCAATGGAAAAGATTCCATCACATGTGGCCAGCAAGACCTTGTTGGTACTCTGGAGGTTCATGTGCATCAGGCAAGGGACATCCATAACATTTGTATATACCACAAGCAAGACGTTTACGCCAAGCTTTGCCTTACAAGTGATCCTGAAAAGTCTGTATCGACCAAAATCATCAATGGCGGTGGGAGGGATCCGGTTTTTGATGACAAAGTTAAGCTTGATGTCAGGGTTGTCGACACTTCCCTCAAATGTGAGATTTACATGATGAGCAGGGTGAGGAACTATCTCGAAGACCAGCTCCTTGGTTTCACTCTGGTTCCTATGTCTGAACTGCTCTTTAAGAATGGGAAACTCGAGAAAGAGTTCGCTCTTTCTTCCTCTGATCTGTACCATTCGCCAGCTGGTTTTGTTCAGTTGTCTCTCTCCTACAATGGATCCTACCCTGAAGTGATGGCGTTTGCCACTATGCCTTCACCTGTTTCTGTTGATGAATCTACCAAGAATCCAGAAGGGTCTGAGTCACTTCCTGATGAGTTGGATAAGATAGAGTTTCCAGATCCCAATGTCGCTAATGAAAATGAGAAGATGGTTTCCGAGTATTATGGGATCTCCTGTTCCACTATCGACTCAGGAACTTCTGACAGCTTGGTTACTTCCGATGCTGAGAATCATGTAACCAACTCTGTCACTTCTGTACTGAAGCAAGATTCACCTGAGATCAGTAATGCAACTAATGAAGCTGCTTCTCCTCACGCTTCAGCTCACTCTGCAACAGAAACACCAAACCATGATCATCTCCCTCTCGTGAACTCCAAAGCCGATTCTCAGGAGGAGTCAGAGACTGAGGCTTCAGGTGAGACATCCAATGAGAAGACTGTGAAACCCATCCTCAGTGTGAGGGTTGAGGAAGAGTCAAAGGTGGTGCAGCAGGATATAGTGGACATGTACATGAAAAGCATGCAACAGTTTACTGATTCACTGGCTAAGATGAAGCTTCCTCTGGACATTGATAGCCCAACAAAGTCAGAGAACTCAAGCTCTGATTCTCAGAAGCTGCCAACACCAAAGAGCAAGAATGGATCCCGTGTGTTCTACGGGAGCAGGGCGTTCTTCTGAGCATCTGTTTTACCAAGTTCAGAGGAAGAACGCAGGTCACTCCTAGACTTTTTACTAATGAAGAAAGACTAATCACCTAATAATGTACTGTTTGATGTTGTATCTCCCATCTGGCCAGCTTGATGTTTTAGTTGATGTGAAGTTATATTATGTATCACTAGCCTTTGTACTGTATGAAGTATGTCCTCATTATATGAACTTATGCTGCCTAATCATGTTTGTTTAACATCCACAATAATCTCTAAAGCATAGTGATCAGTGCAAAGATTGCTTAATTATTCGTACAATCATCACATGGTGTCACTGTCACTCTCAGCCCCCCCTTGTCTTTAGGACCATCAAGAGGAGGTCCCATAGGTGGGGAGAGAGAGGCAAGGGATCCAATGATTCAGCTTTCTGAAAAAATCTTAACAAATGTTTGTAATGCTCTTTGGTTAGTTGAAGTGTCTCTTTCATAGGATCTTGAGAGGATGCTTTTCTGTCTGTGTACCATTGGGGTCATATTAAGAATAAGGGAATGTAAATAGTAATATTGGTAAAGATTAAAATATCATCATACGGTAACAGACAAAGAAAATGGTTTTTGACTAATTAAATTACTTTTTTTTAGCTAGCTAGCAAGCAAGCTTCAGAGGGGAACTTGGATCACTTCATTAGCTCTGGTGATCATATGCCGTTTGCAGATCCAAGCAATGGACCCATCATCTCTGTATCTAACTCTCCACAGGCCAAACTTCTCTGCAATGTCCTTCCCAGTTGAGCAATTCTGTTCCCTCAAGTAATCGATGAGCCATTGTTGAGCTGCTCTTTGTTCTTGCTCCTGGATACCTCTATCTCTACCTCGGTTCCTACCCAATGCAGCAGCGACCCCTACGGCTCCTGCAGCTCCGGCCGCTCCAGCCATGACAGATGGGTTGGCTAGGTGAGCTATTGCATGGCCCAAGTCAGGTATCATGTGTCCCATCCCAGCTGCCCAGTTTGCTCCAATCCTCAGTGCAAAAGTCACCAGTGTCATAAAGCTAGTCATGTATGGAGCTAAGCACTTTACAGCTCGGTTGTCTATCTGCATCACATCACATCCAAGCTGGTCTTCCACAACGTGCATTTCCCGTCTGAATTCGCATAACATGTGTATCCTTAGAGAAACCATGCCAGGAACTATTGATGTGATGAGTCTTCTCCCGTAGTTCTCTGGTGTGATGAAGTAAAACATGTTTGGAACTTTTCTTTCATCCATCTGGACATTGTAATTGACAAGGTAGTTCACTTTTTGATGAAGCTGGATCAGAAGTCTGTGCTCGTAGTATCTCAGTCCTTGGATCTCTTGCTTCAGGTCTCGTATCTCTTGCTCAATAATCTTGAGCCTCCGAAGTACTGCTTCTACACCCTTAGCGATTCCACCAAAGCTAGGATCGACGTTTTCTAGCTCATTGGTCACAGGTACTGCTTCGGGGTCATCCTCGGTGGGAACTTGTAGTTCTTGAGCTAAAGTGTGCAGATCATGGTACCTTCTTTGCAATACTTCTCTAAAATCATCATCAGAGAGGAGGTCCCGGGCTAAATCAAATCCAGCTCCTAGAACAGTCTTACCTATATCTAGAACAGAGTCCCATGTGTGTTGATAGTCATACATAACCTCTGCAGGAACAGATGACAATGCTTCTTTTAGCCTCTGGAGGGAAATGAGCTGACTCTGTCGGAATCGTGGTGGAGTTAAGTCCTGAACACACTGTGGTCTTATGATGTGCTCAAGGAGGATTACACCGTGGCAGCTGTTCTGGATAGCAGGATTGATTAGCTGGTTAATGAGCCTCAAGGTTTCTGTCAAGCTCTTTGTTGAACAAGCAAGAACATCAATGTAATCTCCCAACTGTCCTCCAAGCTCCACTCTTATATTAATGCCTTGGATCGTTATATCGATGAGGTACTTCTCAAGGCTATAAGTAGCCCCGTGTTGGTTCTTCAGTTCCATGATTCGGTTGTGAAGATGCACCTGTTACAAGCAGTATGAACGATCACTTAGGTTTTGAGTTCTAAAGAGATGAAAGAAACAGAGATTTGTTAAACCTGTAAACGAGGGAAGAGTCCAGCTGTGAGGAACATGTGACTTGAATCATCACACTGAAGATGCCTGCCTGAATAAACACAGTCTTGTGTGTTTATCTGCCATTTCTGAGTCTTTCCTCTGCCATCTTCTAGAATCGATGGGACTAACAATGAAGATTCTGGACTAGAAGGATCTTCTTCATAGCACAGTTCTAATTTCTTCATCAGCCTGGCAAGCTCAGACGCATCCAAATGCTCAAGCACCTTTGAGGTCATCCCTGGAATAGGACTCTGCAAACTAGTTCTCAAAATCTTCTCCAGCTCTTTCTTGCTGACAAAACCGTTGCTGCTTTGCTTTTTTGAAACAAGCTTTATCAACTGAGCAAGTACCTCCCCACAAAACCATTCGTAGTCTAGTATCAAAAAGCCACACTCATCAAAGTAAATCACCTCTCCTGTTTGGTGTAGGGATGTGGCTATGGCTCGCCGTCTCCTCTCCACGATCTCAATGTTCTCGTTGCGAGACTGTACTCTCAGGGAAGGAACTTTGTATTGACAAAGGTCTCCAAAGGCTTTCCATCTCATAACAGGTCTGTTTGAATTCCCTGTTCTCCAGTCTGATAAGAGCGGAACCATATCATTGCAAAGCTGATAAACCCGGGGAACTCTTTGAAGGATGGCTTTGCTTGTCATCCGGATATGTTGTGTGAGTTTACTTACCGAAGTAGATGATCTTGCATCAACTGTGAACACGGTCGGAAAGAAATCCACTGAATCTTGAAACTTATCTCTCACTCTCTGAATGGAACCCACAATTGCCTGAAAGCTTTCAGATTGCTGGTTGGTTTTTTCCGAGTGTGTGAGCACAATTGTTACGTTTGGTTTCATGCATTGTTGAACTGCTTTTCTCGAGTTGGTAACGATGAACCTAAGCCAATATTGAAGCTCTCCTTCTACTTCTAATGGTGTTTTCGGTTCTTTGTTGCTCGGTTTCCTAAACAAGCTCAATGTGATCAAGAAGAGACATGGGCTCGGGAACATAAGATCATGAAGAGCATAGAACTCGTGTTGTCCCGCAAGATTCCACATCGAGATCTTTGTTTCCTCGTCCATGAACGTCTTTATTTTCATCCCACCAGCTGCCTTATTAACAGCTTGCTCCACAGGGTTCATCAAAGTTCTCACATTCTCAACATATGGGAAACCAGAAGCAGAGAAGCTTTGCATTATAGAGTTGCAGAGCGTTGTCTTACCTGCATAGTCTTGTCCGCAGAGGAAAGCTCTAACGCTCTTTGGCTCAGTGAGTGGCATATCCCTGAACGATGAATCCGTCTCTTCTTCATCTACATTCCTACCATTGTCTCCCAGCTTCTGATATATCTCATCAGCCTTCCCTGAATCTTCAAGTGGAGTCCTAGCTAAATCAATCTCCTCAATCAATGGGTTAATCTGTAATGTCTCAGTGATGGCCTCCAACACTCTATCACCTCTTACCCCTCTGCAGCCCTGTAATGAAAACCGTCTTAAAGAAGCGTTCTTCTGCAAAGTCTTGAAGATGTGCACAAAATCATCAGGTCCCAGGCTTGTGTCCTCATGGATCCCGAGATGAACCACAGTCTCATTAGTTGTCAACATCTTCAAAATCGCGGTAAGTCCATCTCTTCCAATCTTGGTCCTGGAACCTCCAAAGACAACCGTCTTAAGCGTGATGTTGGCTTGTAACTGCAGAGTAGAGAATCTACTCAACGGACAAAGCAAATCCTCAACGCCAACGCTCCCAAACCTGTTACCATCAACATACAAACTCTGCAAGCTCTTGTTCTTGAAAAGTCCAGCTGCAACATAGACAACAGCCTTGTCTTTAAGACCTGTTTTAGAGAGTTTCACTTCTCTAAGAGTCCTGTTCTGCTCAAGAACCCATCTAAACTCCTTCGCCCACCGCGAGTTCAGCCTCGCCCCAGTCATGTCTAGAGACCTAACCGTTGTGTTCATCCCCAACGCTGCAGCGACTCTGCAAGAGCCAGAGATATCAATCTGGTAGATCCGGAGAGTATTGCTCTCAGGGAAGAACTCAAGGACCTTTGAGGTAGTTCTGTCTCTTTTGTGGTCCCCACTCCACACGTGAACCTCCATGTCTCTGTTCATACCCAACACAGCTGATATCAATGGCGTTGCAGTGAGAGGGTTGGAGTCGAAAATGGAGAAAAGTTTTAAACTTGAGTTCGTTTCGATCATCTTAGAGAGCTCTTCAGCTCCTTTAGACCCAATAGAGTCTTCCCAAATCTGCAACTCCTCTAACGTGTCGTTAACTTGAAGAGCAGAGGAGAGAAAGGAAGCTCCTCTGCTTCCAATTCTGGACTCTGTGAACATAACCTCTTTCAACGAACCGTTTCTTCTCAGAATCTCTGAGAACTCGTTCAGACATTGTTCGTTGAACCTGTTCTGTCTGAAAGAGAGGTGCTTTATCTTTGAAGTGTTGTCGAGGAACAAACCAAGGCTTTGTAATATCTCGATGTCCCACGAGATTCCTTCGAACTCCAAGTTCCTGAGAGATGTTTGTGTCTCTAGAGACGTTGCTAGCTCGATGAAGATCTGGGAAAGTGAAGTGAGGTTGTCTCTGGTGACGTTGATGTTCATGGAGGTGTCTGTGAGAAGCTGACAATGTGTGGTCTTGCCGGAGGAGGAGGAGAAAGATAGGGTTTGAAGAAGGTTGAAGCGGTTGTGTTGTGGGTCTTTGATTGCTTGAATGAACCATGAAAGATCTTTGAAGAAGCTTTGCTCTGTCTCTGAAGCCATCTTTGGAAAGAGAATAGAGGAAAGGTAAAGTGGGAAACGAATTGAAGTTTTTGCCAGATTTTTACAAAGGAGATTTTGTTTCTTTTCAAACTTTATTACACACAACGAATCTAGATATTAATGATGAGTTTGAAAATGCTGGGTTACTTTTATTTTTACTAAATTCGGTGACTGTAATATGTAAGACCATATGGTAGAAAAGCATCTCCAATATATCTCTTTGTATTTTTCCTATAAAATGGAAATTCTATTATAAACATTAATTTATAGAGATAAAAATAACATTTCTCTCTATTTTTCACTAAAATAGAGAAACTTTATTATAGAAACAGACATTACGAAATCCATATCTATAATAGAATTTCTAAATTTTAGAAAAAAAACTATAGTGATAGTGGATTGAAGATAGTCTAATAGAAAATTGACAAGTAGTTTTATTTAAAACTATGTACAATGTTTCAAAAATTCAACATTCTCACTATTATTTTCTAATATTCACATCATCATTCAACATATTCAAATTACACATTTAATGATTTTTAATAAAATTCAATATCTTATGTTACTAATTAATAATTGTTTTCTGTGTCTAAATTAAATCAACCTACTACTTGTTTATAAGGATTTCAAAATAATAACTTTCATATAAAATAAAAATAAAAATAAAAATAAATTATTTAATTTATATATAATAAAATATTAGTTTTAAATAATTAATAAGGTATAAAAAGTAATATGCATTTTTAAGAGTTGAACTACTTCTGCAATGTTTTCAACAGTTTAATAAATGATTCAACTATTTCATTGTAAAGAAAGTATTGATTAAAATATTTAACATTTAAACAAATATTATGAACTTGTTGACAAATAAAAATTTAATGAAATTAATTATTTGGTGTTGAAAAGATTCAATATGCTAAATAAAAAAAGTGAGGATCACCGAAGACACATGTATCCTTCTAGTGATTATTGATATTTTCATATCTTTGTAATTATTTAAAATCAATATAATCTCATTATAAATTAAATAATTTATTTGTATTTCTTGTACGCGTTTTGTTAGTTTAAATTTTCTATAAATCAAGAGTAAGTTTATTTAATTGAGATATATAAAATAATTATTAATTAATAAACTATGGTATTGAATTTTTATAAACAAAACCATTATAAAGTGTAAAAATTAAATATTTGTTAAATGATGAGATGAAAGAAAGTGAAGATGATCTTAAATGTTAAAAAATGAAAAAAGGATGTTCAAATCTTGAAACTATTGTATATAGTTTAGTAATTTTTTGTTTTTGCTGTCAAATCTCTTGTGGTGTTTGCACGGTGGTTTATGGTGGCTCTAGTGGTATCAGATGACTTCGTGGTATTGAATTTTCATAAACAAAACCATTATAAAGTGTAAAAGTTATATATATGTTGAGTAATAAGATGGAAGAAAGAGAAGATGATATGAAATGTTAAAAGATGAAAAAAAGAATGTTTGAATCTTGAAACTATTGTACATAATTTTGTCTAATGTATTTTTTTGTTGACGAATCTCTTGTGATGTTTGCATGGTGGTTTATGGTGGCTCTAACGGTATCCGACTTCGTTGTTTAGCTTTGTGGGGGCAGATCTGAGCCATGTTCTCCTAAGCCTTCTGTTTTACTATCTCTTCTTTTTCATGTTTTCAAGTTGGTGGTCTCCCTATTACATTTCCGGTGATCATCTATGGCCACAATGATCTTCTTTGACCAGTTATGTTCGGTGTCTTCTTTCCAGTGGAATTACTTTTTTCTATGTTTAACATGTTATGGTGGTTTTGGGGGTGATTGTTTTAGTTGAAGTGGTGGTTTTGGGGGTGATTGTTTTAGTTGAAGTGGTGGTTCTTGGACAGTTTCGGCGAAATTTTTGATACTTTTTTTTTTTTTTGTTGTTGTTTAATTAGTTTGTTTATGGGTTTGACTGGCCCGATTATATGGATAGGATTTTGTGGTTTTTGTGGTTTTTTTATTTGGCTTATTTTAGTTTATCTGTATAAAAAAAAATTTATTATTATTTTTTTAGCTGGTTATAGAAAAATAAACAAAAAAAGGTTAATATGAAAAACCTGTGGAGAAAAATTGAAAACGTGACATACAAAAAGTTTTGGAGAAGGAGGTTAAGAAGTCGCAAAAGTTTCGGACAGACTCTTGGTAGTGGGACATGAATGTTTTGTATCTAGTGTCTACTGCATAAATCTTAAATTTATCTCTAAACCGAGGATTGGAAACTTTTAATGTGTACTGTATTTATCAGAAAAAAAAAATCAAAACATAAAATATAGCTTTCACGATTTGTGTGAACAGTCACAAGAAAATAAACCCAAGTAAATAGACTAAGGGATACATGCACAAAAGAGTTCCATCCCTCTCTTACACACTCTAAAAGCACCTTTAACGGTAAAACATCTTAAAAATAGGTTCTCTGCAACATTTTATTAAGATTTTAAGACAATTTATAACCTTAGTTTTGTTATATTTTATTTTGGATAATTCAACCAATTATAATAAAATAGATGGCAAATTAATATCTGACAGGGTCTCTGAATGGTTCAACCTGAGAATCATATACTAAAACTGTTATCGGAGCTGCTCTAAGAGATCAGTAGCAATGAGAAATTATGTACACTAGAGGGAAACAGACTGAGAAACTCTAACTCTTCTTCCTCTGTTTTGTTAGTGTTATTCATTCTCAGTCTGATGATTTTGTAACCCAAAAAGATTCTTTGTAAGTAGGGCAAGAGTGAATCGTTGTGAGGATTATGTATGATCTTGTCAAAGTCAACAAATATCTTTTATTATGAATAAACAAATAAATTCATTCTTATTTTTTTTTGTGAATGATTATGTATTCCTCTAATCTTATACTAAAGACAACTTCACAAGTGATAACTTTAGCAAGAATTTTTGTTTAGTTAGACTCATATAAAGAAGTGCTAAATTTAAAATAGTTGATCAAAAAGTAAATAAGAACTAGCATTCAAGAAGAGGATATACTTTACAAGTTGATTTGTTATGACCAAGCGCCTTGCACTTACTACATTGCAGCTGCCGCTTCATCACCTCTTCCACAGTTGCTTTCTTCTTCGGTGGCCTCCGGGGCCGAGTAGGTGGTGGTGTTACCGTCATCACAGAACCCCCAGAGCTCTCTCTACAAATCTCTCCTTCTAACAAAGGAACAGGATTTATTGACATAGAGAATGTCAACCTATCATTGTCAACATTGAAAATCTAGATCAAAAGTCATAAGGAGTACGTCCATTACAGCTTATAACTGCCACTGCGTGGTGACACGGTAAGCCAGTTAATGGTTGCTTACATTACTGGTGTTTAGCTAGATAATGGTTTATGGCAGCAGGAGATCAAGGAACTCTGGAGCGTGACTCTCAGGCTTGCACCATTGCAAGAGCTTATGTGTAAAAAACATTACAATGTATCTGCATATCACTACCAGGGTTTCCTATTCCGAAGATAGGACACAACTCATAATGACAACATTTCACTACCTCTAATAGAATTTCAGCATTTTCTTAATTATTTTTTGCAAAAATAATTTCCAAAATTTGAGGTGCTAAAACCTACGTGATTAATATTTTCTAGAAGTTTTTATCTGCTAATGTAAATGTTAAATATCCATCAGAGCTTAGATCTAGCGGTGGCGAAGAACAAAGCAAGACGAATAGATCAGCTAAAAAACAGGGGTCGTATCTTTGACTCAAGTATACTCAGCAACATGGATTATTTTTATTGTTTTTAGAAAATTACAAACCATGCATGTTACCAACCCAGTCATAGGGAGTGTACAGAACATTTTGAGAAATGTTAGTGAAAATTTGAATACATAAATAAATATGGTAACTTAAAATTGTAAATAACCTCGACATAATCTATATGAAACTGCAATGGACTTTCATAATTTATGGCAACATTTGAACTGCATTGAAACTTCCATAGTATACACAATAAACTAATGCCAATTGTCTAGTTTGTCCAAAATCATTGATCGTCTTGTGTTTTAGCTAAACCAGCCAGCTACTGTTTCATGTTCACAATGTATACACGCAGTTTTGATAGACATATATATGTCTATATATAGGCTTAACAACTAACTCAAAACAAAAACAGAGTTTAAGATCTAAAATCACGGTGGCATCTCGTTCATCTCATCCGTTCAGTTATATCCTAACAAAAAAAAAGTTTCTTTCACATGTTCTACGAATAAACTGATACGTCTTATTCGTTGACTTGAAAGGGTAACTAAGAAGAAAATGGCAAGAAAAAAAAGACGATATGGAGACGGTGGACGATAAATCTCAGCCGATGCTGCTTCCGGAGAATGAATTTGACGTCTCAGAAGAAGAGGGAGCGTCGTGGATGGTTTGTCTAAGCACTTTTTTTTTTTTGGTGAACATGTTAAATTTGTCTAAGCACATTCATTGCCGTTTGTGGTTCCTTCGAGTTTGGAACCTGCGTAAGTTTCTTAATTAATCTTTTAATTAAGGTTACCAAGAAAAAATGATGATTAACAATAATTTGTTATTGATACGAGAAAATATCTTTTTTTTATTAATAGGTGTGGTATTCCGACCCAGTTCGGGATTATGCAAGAACTTAATTTATCATATTCTCAGGTTTTAAAGCATATAAAGTACATTTGTTGAAGTATTCCACACTTAGAGTTTGTTTTAAGGATGGTCTTTTATACTAATCCACTTTTTTAATTTAGTTTTCAGTTTTCGGATCGATATTGAACGTGGGAGCAGTTCATGGAGCCGTAACATTGGGGAAGATCTCTGATTTCATCGGTCGGAAAGGGGTAAAAACATAGCTTAACAAAACTATAATGTAGTTAATGTTCTATTCATCTCAATCTACACACAAGATATCTCTTATTTATTATTTGAAGAAATTTTTTAATAAATAATATTATTCTTATGTATAATTAACAAAATTGACATTACTTATAAACTATCGATTCACACGACTTTTGCTATTTTGGATTCAACATCATCTACGACAATAATTATTTTGAATGGGATTTGTAGCTCGGTTTCGCTCTGCTCATATGGCGGATGTGAAAGGGAAATGAGTGGCTTATGAGGATGATGACGAACCTATTAAGCTGACGGATCATGATGATGCGAATGTCATATTGGAGTTTCGTCTATCTTTAATCAGCAAGATCTTAAACCCCAAAAAACAAAAGGTGGATAGGCTTATCTAAACAATGACATCACAATGGAGAACGAAGGATAAAATCATTGCAAATGATTTAGGAAATGGGAAGTTTCTTCTAAATTTCACCACTGAGGAGGACCTAAACTTTGTTCTTCGACAAAGGCCCTTTCATTATAACTTTTGCATGTTTGTGTTGGTCCGATGGGAACCAGTTGTACACGACGACTATCCCTGGATAATCCCATTTTGGGTTCAGTTTGTTGGGTTGCCATTGCACCTCTGGACAAACAGAAATTTGAGAGATATAAGGGGGAGATTTGGATATGTCGATACGATTGAGCTATCCACGGGCGTGTGTTAATACATATTGACTCACGCAACCCTTTGAAGTTCACACGGAAAGTACAATCACCTGAAGGAGATGAAGTTACAAGTGAAATCAAATATGACATGTTGTTTGAACATTGCACCATATGTGGCTTGTTAACACATGAAAAGGGGTATTGCCCTTCGAGCAGTATACACTCTCGTATCCAGGAACCGGGGGAACGTGAGCATGTCTTCACCCGCATGGAGGTTCCACCGGCGAAACACAACAATCACGTTGCTACTTCACATGAACGTGAGTCGCAAAAAGGAGGAGCTCTTTACATGGATTCGCGGGGGAGTGGCGATCACTATTCTAGGGGAAGATCACCACTCCAGTCTAGGGAAGATACACGTGCACGAGATAACACGTTTGCAGCATCCAAGAACCGGTTAAGGAACTATAATGGTCACAGTGAGGAAAACTCTAACAGGGTCTACAGGCGCAGAGACGACAGCTCAAAGAGATTTGGAGGTGATAGAAAGGATAAGGGTCCTTACAACCGAGGGGAAGCTCAGCGATGGAGAGCAAAACCTACACATCCTACTCTCCATTCTGAGGACGTTCGAATCGGGTCTGTCGGTTCTCCATCCAAGAAAACAACCGCGGTACAAGGAGGTAACTGATGCTGGTATTGGGGATGATGAGCAACGCAACAACAACAAAATCCAGAGAAGGATAGCAAGTGCAATTGTTACCCCAACCGCTGTAGCTCTTTCTATGGAGATTAATATTACAATTCGTCCTAGAGGTGTACCAAGAGCACTATCTTTCTCGCTTTTGCGAGATCAAGAAACAGATGATATGGAGCAAATGATTGGAGCACTGAATGACATGGATTCATTGGAGCAACAAAACGCTAGCCTAATGGAGTATGAATACAATGATTCAAATGAAGATGACTTACTTGGAGAGGAACTTAGGGAGGCTGAAGAGAGTACTATTAAAGCAATAACTGCCGTGGAGAAGGATACAAAACACGGAAACAAGCCCTCATGCCATACCAGAAGTGGTAGTAGACACAATGCTTCTTTGGGCATGTCTAACAAGAAATTCGATATCCTCCGTAGAGGATCTCCTTCAAACTGATCCAAGACAAAATCCCGGTGCAAATGGAGGGGAAGTAAGGCAGGGCCATCATTGACATGGGCCCAAGAATGATAGGGATGTTCGTCCAAAAAATGATGGTTCGATGAGGTCCAAAATCTCATCACACCATCATCCATGAAGACAATCAGTTGGAACTGTCGAGGGCTAGGAAACAACCTCACAGTTTGACGCCTTACGGAGATGTGTCAGAAGCATTGCCCAGGACTTGTGTTTCTTTCTGAAACGAAGAATATGAGGCTGCTGTTGCAAGACATTCAAGCCGACCTAAGATTTGATCATTTGTATACCGTTGAGCCACTTGGTCTCAGCGGAGGTTTAGCTTTGTTTTTTATGGATGATTTTCAAGTTAATGTTTTATTTTCGAATAACAGAATGATTGACATTGAGACAGTCATTGATGGAATAAAAGTCTATATGACGTTTGTTTATGAGGATCATGTAGTAGAACGTAGAGATATAGTTTGGGAACGTCTTACGCGTTTCTCAACTACAAGAAATGGACCTTGATTTATCATAGGGGAGTTTAATGAAATTACATGCCATGAAGAGAAAGAAGGAGGCAGACAATGCACAGACAGCTCTTTCTTGCCTTTTAAGCAGATGCTCAGTGACTGTGGTATGCTGGATTTTCCTTTTACAGGAAACATGCTCTCTTGGGCAGGAAGGAGAGCAGGGAGTGCTACTGTTAGATGTCGCCTTGATAGGACTGTCGGCAATGAGGATTGGCATGAGAAATTCCCTCATTCAAAACTCCAAAGTACAATATATGAGGCTGTGGGGTTCGGATCATCGTCCGGTCCTAGCTGATATTCTTAAAAAGAAGCCGCGGAGATCTAAAAATTTCAAATTTGATAAGAGATGGCTTCAAAATGAAGAACTCAGACAGATTATACTTGAAGGATGGAAATCACCAGAACTTCCACCTGATGCAAGTATTATGGAACATATTGCAAGTTGTAGGTGAGCCTTATGTGATTGGAAAAGGCAGCACAATCTGAATTCAGAGAAAAGTGTGGAGGAGTTAAAGGAAAAGGTGGACCAGTTATCCTCAAATGATGATGTCACTACAGAGGAGATTGCAGTAGTTTTATAAGATTTTTCTGACGCTCTTAAGGCGGAGGAGATGTTCTGGAAACATAAATGTAGGGTGTTCTGGTTAAGGGAAGGAGATAGAAATACCAAAATTTTCCATGCTCTCACAAAGCAGAGAAGAGCAAGGAATAGGATAACCCAACTACTGGATGCAAATGAGAATGTTGTGGAGGATGAGGAAGGACTGGTAGCCATTGCTACAAGTTACTTTAGACACATTTTCCAATCATCAAACCCGGAGGAGATAGAGGATGCACTTTCTGAAGTCACCACTACAACTACGCCAGCTGATAATGAAGGTCTAACAGCCGCGATCACAAAATGGGAGGTTAAGTTGGCTCTTTTTGCCATGCACCCAGAGAAAGCCCCATGACTGGACGGAATGACGACACTGTTCTATCAAAATTTTCGAGATATAGTAAAAGATGATCTAACTCATATGGTTAAT